AGACGTGTGCTCTTCCGATCTCCCCAAAACCCCAAAACCCCTCGAAGATGATTTGATCAAATTTAGATAAATGAAGTAATTAATATATTAAACTAAACTAAAAATGAAGATCATAAGCAAGCATATTAATTGGAAAACAAGGACATTTGTGGTATTAAAAATAAGATAAATAACTAACCTTTTAGGTTAGAATAGCATTGGAGATCGATACAGATGACGCGTGGAATCTTTATAATTTAATTCAAATTGGGGATTTTGTAAAAGGATCTGCATATAGGTAATAAAATCGATTTATGATTGACTATTCTTGTCAGAAAAATATAAAAGGAAACTTACTCAGGCCTGGTTTCTAATATAAAAAAGAAGTTTGAATGTATCATTAAAGTTGAGGTAACCAATCTATGAATTTTATATAAGATTTATATAGACTTTTGACTTTGATGCTGAGTCAGATACCATTAGAATAACTGGAACTAATGCTGCTGAGAACAAATATCTAAAGTTAGGTTAATACTAATCATTAGAAATTTAAGCCCCTAAAACCTTGACCTTAATTAAACCATAATTTGACATCATTCACTTGAAGAAACTATCTGATGCGAGTGATCTGTAGAACCTTGGTCATGTCTGTGTCATAGTTATGGAAGAGGGTATAGCTCATTTATTTTTGGTAGGGAAAAATACATCAAAACTCAAGGCAAAAGTGGAGAAGAGAATTTCAAAAAAGAAGGCATATGCAAGTTAGCATGATAAGCAGAAGAATAAGTTCTTTGAAAATGTCCTTCAAGCATTAATGCAGCACTTTATTCAAGGCCAATAATAGTTAAAATCTATTGTAATTGGTTCACCAGGATTTGTGAAAGATGCGTTTTATGCCTATATAAAGCAAGAATCAGACAAGGCTCACAATGTCTTCATGAAGCAATGTATTGAAAAGATCATTCTCACTCATACATCAAGTGGATTCAAACACTCACTTAACGAGGTAATGTCAAGTAAGACAGTTTAGGACAAGATAAAAGACTTAAGTGTATTTTCAGAGTCAATATAGTTAGACAAGTTCTTTGAAATCTTGTCAATGGACCCTGATAAAGTGTGCTATGGCTATAAATCAGTAGATTACGCAATGAAAAGCTCAGCAGTTGATACATTCTTGATATCGGATAAGTTGTTTAGGGCCAAGAATGTAGTCGTTCGTAAGCAATATGTTGGAATGGTTGAAGAGGCAGAGAGGAATGGAATTAATACTGTGATATTTAGTTCTATGAATCCATCAGGAGAAAGTAAATAATTCTATAATAATTTCTACAGGGCTCGATAATCTATCTGGAGTAGCTGCAATTTTAAGATATCCATTAGCTGGTATAGATGACATTGAAGAAGATGATATTGATATTGATGAGCTTATAGAATAAGAAGGAGAGCAAAGGGATGAGGAATAGAAACAAGATGAAACTAAGGAGAAAAAGCTTACTTGGGATGAGTAGCAATTAGAAATATTGCTAGGAAATTTCGGTGACCAAGAGGAGGAGGATGAAGAAGAAGAAATTGTAGAATGAATCTAAAAATCACTCTAATTGAGTTTTATATCATTCAATAGTTTTTATTAATGATAAGATGTTAGAAATATGAAAATTTTTTTACACTATGGGGTTTTGGGGTTTTGGGGTTTTGGGG